ATTAAAAACATATATACACAACAAACGTGCTGTTTGTGCACCCCGTAGCTAGAGAGTTCCCAAATTAAGATAAAAATAGAGCAATAATTTACTGTATCACAGCCACTTAAGTTTAACAAGTAAATCCTTTCGGCCATACTACCTATTTGTGAAAGACCAATGATGCCCCCACTTGACTAAAGTACGTCAGTGCTAAGCAATTAGCTGCTCGCTACCAACTGATTTATGTTTTCACTGCTTCTGGGGAAGAAAACGTACACAACTGGGAAAGTAATTTTTCATCTACCGTGACAGTCAGCCCTAAAAAGTTGTTTTATAAACACACCTACCTCATCATCAGATAGAAGCACTGCCAACTCGTTTAGAAAGTGCAAAATGTGCGCCTTGCTGAGATCTTTTTTTAAATACCGGATCATACGTACAAAATAACTTGTTAAGATGTGTTTTGCTTTTTTTTTTTATTTAATCCTGTCAATGATTCAAATCAGCATGAATAAATCTGCTAATGATGAGACAAATGTCTCTAAATACGCTGAATTAACATCTTAACAGGGATACGCAAAATAAGGAAGAAAAAGCAGCAATAAATTATAAACTTCCTTCACCGTGCATCGGATTTTAAACAGAGAAACAAATATTTCTTAGGAGATGCCAGACAGTTACTTCAGATTCAGAGTGATGTAACTAAGATCAGGTTTTTCTCCTGTTTATTTACAACTTGAAGCAAAAACCAGTAACTAACTACTGACCCCAAATTTAAGGTACTACATTACTTAAAATATATTATTACCTAAATTATATATATGGAAATAACACTGCTGGGAGAAAATACTTAAAATAGCATTACCAAGATATGGAGAAATGCTATTTTAACAAATTTTTAAAACACAGAGCTACTTCTTCAAACCATAGAGCACTACTTACAAGACATATGAAATGTCAACTAAAAAGTCTTAATAGTTGTCGCTAAAACTCTGTACAGAAAAGTTAAATGTTCTAGTCACCACCCAAATACTTTCCGGTTAACTCTGAAATGGCCTGAGGCAATATTACCATTCAAATGCCTTAATTACATATCTAGCAAAGTGAAGATGTAACTGATTTTTAAATTAGGTTTTACAAAAGGATATCCAAAGCTATCAAATCAATACATTTAGCAGAATTTGGCATTTTATTTACAAATTATTGATTTTTTTAAAATCCAGATTACAATTCCTTGAAAATCTATACTTAAGATGGAGCTTCTTTTCCATGTTTGTCCTTCCATTTACTTTAGATTTTCTAAAAGTATTTTATCCAGAATATGCAAGATTTAGGATGCGTATAATGTACTTACACAGTTTTCTCTAGCTGATAAAGCGGAAATTATTAAAGCTGTATGCTTTCTTTCCAGACTTAGTACCCCAAGTTTTTTGGATAAAGGTGAAGTTAATAAATATGATATTAATAATATTATCATTAATATATGATGAAGTTAATATGATGATCTCACAGCATTATGATGATAATGATGTTATGCTCTTATTCACCACTTGAGTCAAAGCTTTCGTTATTTAATCTATGATAAAAGCATTCAACTCAAGACACGCTGGAGATACATGAGTAACGGTGGAACTGTGCATGGGCACTTGACATCCCTTCAGGAGGGCTAACAAATGTTAGTTTTGAATTTTTTAGTGAAGTATCATTATGAAAAACATTTTCTTTTGATATCTGTAGGTTATACATATTAGTTACAGGTTCGGTGCAAACACAATTCTTACCAAGTGGCTGTTTCTAGCATATATTTGCTCTACAAGATTGGTAAGAACTCATCAAGTGAAATGAAAATTTAATCAGCTTTCTCTTACATAGTTCTTTCAAGCACTGACTACAATTCTTCTAAACCACATGGCAGTTGTGACTTGGCTTTTTGGGTTCAAAAGCCAAAGTCCCTGAGAACTGCTTTGGAAATGCCACTAAAAACCATGAGATACCCATTGCCAGATCTGCTCGCTGATCAAGAGGTTACTAAATTTAATGCAACTGATTTTTATCCAGCTGTGGATTAACTGCACAGCAAGCGCAGAGGTGCCAGAGCTGGTCCCTCACATGCTAGTTCAGATCTAGATGCAGCGTCATGTGGGTGGATTTATCAGCTGGAGTCAGCACTAGCTTCAGGATATCTTTGTTTCACAGTCAACAGACGCACTGAAGTCTCTCTAGTTTATTCTTCTTTTAGATGTTCTGGAAGCTTAATTAATATGTTCTATAGGGTATGTATTTTTCCCCTTGGGAGATTATCCCATCAGACCATCACTCTACGTTAACAAGAGAACTGCAGCTTCAAATATTAGGCTGCATCTTTACATTTCAAAATATTTAAAGAATTGTTTTGCTGCTGTCAGAAACAGAGCACCAAGTGCATGGATGGTTCGCAAAGCCAGGGTTCAGCTCAACCTCTGACGCACATAAGCCAACACTCAGGAGAAGAAAATCAAGACAGGAACTGGTGATGGGAACACGGACTACGAACCAAGCCCTCGCATGAGACACAGGGAGCAGCCACAAAGATGCTAGGGGCTCAGTCTCAGCAGCTCTCAAGAGCTTGTTGACAGGCTGCATGGGGGTTGAGGAGTTTGAAGAGAGCAAGAGGCAGTGTTGAAGGCTGGAAGAGAAAGATACTGAGAGGCATAAGAAAAAAACACGCATGTAACAGCTGTGGGAATCTAGATGGAAGACTTATGTGGTTTGAGCTTTATCTTATATTTATTTATATTAATGAACACAACTCCCTAGAAAGGCGTTGAGAGAACAACCTAGGAAAAGTAATTAACTGCAGGAGGAGAGGAAGCTGAGATTGAGATAGGGCTGAAAGTCAGCATAGGGAAGACCTACAACCAACCAACAGGTTATGCTCCTCGAGAAGCAAGTACAGGCAACTGTCTCTTACTTATTTGACTGAGCTAAACAAAAGGGATTTTCCCTCAACCCCTATCAAAACTAAAACGCTTTCCTAGGCTCACTGAAAATTGTGAAACCATTAAAGTACAAGATAAGGTAAATGAAAGTAACACAGAACCAGGTGAGACAAAATATCCAGCATGGGGCTGGACGCAGAAAAAGTTTGGGAAACTCAGCTGAACTGAGCAGTCTGAAAAATGGTATAAAGGTGGAATATAAAGAAGACATCTCAATATATTTCAGCCAAATAGATAATTTTATATCATCAAGATGACACTTTAAAATTTTATTGTTTAAACAACACAGGGCTCTACACATAGGAATTCCTTAGCCCAGGAGTATTCTAAGCTGAATATGGCTCATTTAACAGAATTTATGCCATTGGCAAGGTCTGTGCGTGTCCAACGTGCATTCAGTTTTGTTTATTCTAGGCTGTGGAACAGTCCAGGCACAAGTCAAAAGCTGGCTTTTAACTAGTATGGGGACCAAAACAGAATTTGGAAACTTAAGTCTGCAAAGACAGAACAAAACTGCTTTCTGTTTTATTCCAAAGATGGAGATCCTCATGACCCAGCTGTGCCGATACCTTCTTTATTCAGGCTAGCTAGTTATTTTTTAAGAAGCAGGTCACCATAACATTGTGATGGCTTCAGTGGCACAACAAAATACAAGTGGCATTGCTCTTCGCTTCTGGTAAGGAAGGTGTATGGAGGTACTAAAACCCCACATACTTCCCAAAAAGAAATGTTAGGAGCTCTGCTATCCTGCTACTCTGATACACAAACATCAGTTTACGAGTACATTCTTTGACTTTGATGCTCTCTATTTGCATGACATGGCGTATGATTACACAAAATGTCTCTAGTCCCTATTGTCCATAAATTAAGGAGATCTGGAAACCCAGTTGTCTGGTATGAGTTATAGATCCACTGAATTTGTTTACTATGTATGATTAATAGCAAGAGTTTAGGCAACCTCTAGGTTTCTCCAGCATCAGGCAT